GAAAAAAATGATTACACACTAGGTAAATTTTAAAAGACTAATGAAAATTATTTTTTAATGATAGACTGAATCGTTTCACATTGTCAAAGAGAAAGCATTCTAAACTCTGAAATTGCTAAAGCAACAAATTTGACTATATGAAAATGTAAAACTAAAAAAATAGCTAAGAAAAGGATTTGGAAAAATATTTGAGTCAAGTGGAATGAATAACTCATTCTAAATATTTAGTTTTACAAAATTAATAAATATAGATTATAAATATGTGAAGGGCATGATTAAAATGGTTCGCATAAGATAAAATAGATTTTCCATCTTATTTATAATCACGTGCAAGCTGAAATGAGAGGCCATCTTTTTTTTTTTTTTTTTTTGAGACAGAGTTTCACTCTTGTTACCCAGGCTGGAGTGCAATGGCGCGATCTCGGCTCACCGCAACCTCCGCCTCCTGGGTTCAGGCAATTCTCCTGCCTCAGCCTCCTGAGTAGCTGGGATTACAGGCACGTGCCACCATGCCCAGCTAATTTTTTGTATTTTTAGTAGAGACGGGGTTTCACCATGTTGACCGGGATGGTCTCGATCTCTTGACCTCGTGATCCACCCGCCTCGGCCTCCCAAAGTGCTGGGATTACAGGCTTGAGCCACCGCGCCCGGCCAGGCCATCTTATCTCAGTGCCTATCACAGTGGAAAATCAGTTACCGATGGACACCTCTAACAAGACTGTGCTGAATCTTATACTCTCATGCAATGCCAGTGACGTTCTAAATTACTAACCACCGTAAACATTTGTATCGAGCAATCAAAATTTTCGTAGCCTCGATCAATACAGGGGCATCTATGTAATGAAAACAGTATAAAAGAAAAAAGTCCTAAGTGCAATTATTCATTACAAATTTCTATAACAGTTTTAAAAAATATATCAGAAACATCCTCCATGTCCATATTTAAGGGTTGAGAAAATTAAGCAGCATGGACTAATGTGGATGTATATGATATTGAGAAAAACAGACAACACCGTGTACACTCCAATTGCAGATAGGACTTTGAAACAGCTTTGTAAAAAATGTGACGAACATCTGAAATGTAATATTGAAGAATAGAAAATCTAAAAATAATGAGATTTCGAATGAATTCTTTACTTTTGACAATGTCATCCACTGGCTAAGTTTGGTTGTGTTTCAGGAGCAAGTCCAAGATGGTGACTTCTTCTTTGTTCTGTAATGTGATTAGATGACTTTTATGATTTTTAAAAAATTTAACTTTCCTAAAATGTTAAGGTTCTTTGTACAGAAAAAAATTAAAATTGGAAAAAATGCGTTATAAGAACTTAAATATAACCTGTTAAGGGGCAGAAATAAACCTACTCCCAAAAACAATTGAGCTTAAAGCACTGGATATTTATTTAAAGTATCTCCTCTGTTCTCAGGCCTGTGCTAATCATCCTGATGGATAGAGAGATGCTCCCTTCGCCCTGAGAAGTTCTTAATCCCACGGGCAAGGCAAGATGAAGACACGGGACAGTCGCCCTGGTGGCTCCAGCAGTGCAGAGAGAGGAAGAAGTCCTGTTAGGGATGCAGGTCAGAGAGGCTCCCCGGGGTGGGATGGAGGAATCGGGAAGACTGCTTCCGCTTTGTCCACGCCTGTTAGAGCGTGGCCAGGATTCTCGGCCAGGGAGGGTGTTTCTATGAGCTGACTTGTGTGTAATCCTGTGGGGAGTCCTCCTGAGGGGTGAAAGAGCAGTAGTGTAGAGTCGGCCTTCGCCACTGAAACCGGCTGAGCACCCCGGGGGGCCAGGCCCAAGGCGGTGTCCCTGGCTCTGACCTTTGCTACTTCCTCCCATCCAGACAAGTTCAGTAAGGCCCACGGACAGCACCCAGGCCTCAGCAGAGAAAATTCAGCATAAGCTGTGGGCCACAGACTTCCCTTGGGTATGAGATGACGGCCCAGAAAGCAAGTATCTCTGTTTTTTTAAATAAACAACCTACTTCTACTTCCCCTCAACCCCCTTCTTATATTCCCCTTTGGTCTGCTTGCCCCATTCTTTGTTTTCACCTGGCGGTTTCTCTACTGTTCATCTCCAGCTTTCAGGATCACTCATGCTCTCTCAGCCTCAGACTGAGGGGTGCTGGAGGGGTGAAGTCCAGCAGCACTTGGTCTGTCTCTGATGGTCTCTGGGCTCCGGCAGGCAAGCGCTGCCCCTGCCAGCCTTCTAAGGGAGGAGGCTGCAGCCCCCTACTCCACCCCGGATGTGGGCACCACTCACCAGCAACCACATGCCCAGACATTAGAAAAGCAGCTCTGGGGTGGGTCTTCAGGGGAAAACCAGGCCCGGAGGCCGAAATGGCTGTGCAGGGAAGGTCCAGACCATTCATTCCCTGCCCTCTTCCCTGCCCATCTTGTAATTGGTGAGGGAGAAAAATTCTTGACAGGAGCAGCCTGACCACTGCATACCAACTATCTGTGAGCTCTAGGACCGATTTCTTTTTTTTCTTTTTTCTTTTTTCTTTTTTTTTTTTTTTTGAGATAGAGTCTTGCTCTTTCATCTAGGCTGCAGTGCAGAGGCTCCATCTCCACTTACTGTAACTTCCGCCTCCTGGGTTCAAGCAATTCCCCTGCCTCAGCTTCCCGAGTAGCTGGGATTACAGTTACTTGCCACCATACCCAGCTAATTTTTGTATTTTTAGTAGAGATGGGGTTTCACCATGTTGGCCAGCCTGATCTCCAGCTCCTGATCTCAAGTGATCTGCCCGTCTTGACCTCCCAAAAGTACTGGGATTACAGGTGTAAGCCACCGCACCCAGACTCTAAGACCATTTTCCAAATCCTCCCTGGGATCTCTGTGTACCAGAGGGACCCTGAACAAGGGTGACCTTATGTCTCTGTTTGCCCTGGTTTATGGTCCAGGTTAATTGTGACAGTGCCCCTTTCACTCTCAGAAACATCCTGGTTTACACGGTAAATTATTTCGTTACCCTATCTCAAACCAACATCAAACTGAACACATACACACATGCGCCCCTCTGTGTTCTTGGCAGTTAAGGGGACAGTCCTTAAGCAGAGAAACCTCAGGCTTATCTTTGACTCCTATTTGTGAGACCTGTGATGTTACAATTATCTCTTGAATATATCCTCTCCTTTCTGTGCCCACTGCTCATGATCTATTTCAGACGCAAATAATTACAACTTACTGTGGCATCTCCCTGGCTTGAGCCTCTCCCCTCTCCACAGTTCTGCCGGAGATCTTTTCAAAACACAGATTGATGCCTCCTGGCTCCCATGACCTTTAGATTGAAATCCATATCCCTTCACGATCCTTTCCTGCTTCATCTCCTGCCCCCTCCCCGACCTTTCTACCCTGGGCTCTGGCAGACTGCTTGTCCCCTGAAAAGCCCACATTCCTCCCCATTTCGGGATACTTGTTCCCTTTACCCCTCCTCCTAGTCTGACCCTTTCCTCTCTTTTCTGCTGCTCTTATTTGACTTTCAACTCCTTCCTGGGACTGATCTCAAGTGTCACCTCCTTGAAAGCCTTTTCTGATTCAGCCTTCTTGTCGGAAATGATCGCCCCCTGCTCCTCTAATCCCTGAGAGGACCTGGCTTTTAACATTTTCTACAGTTAGGACTCCTGGCATGTTGGCCACTGCACATGCTGCTTAAGTAACCATCTCTCCTGCGCATGCGACAAACCGCTAAGGTCAAGAATGGCATCTCTTGCAATGCCTGAAACCATGTCTGCTTCATGGAGGAGTTCACGGTTAACAAGTCTCAATCGAACAAAATTGATAATCCACCTCAAATTTTCCACACCAGGTTGCCCAGCACATCAGCCACTCATTCCTGGGGACACTGGGGACAGACTCAGAGGGCGCATGCACTGACATCGGTTCCACCACAACAGCTTGTGGAAGGAATATCTGCTAAGCATTCAGATGTAAGTGGCTGTATGCCTCCTTCAGCAGAAAGAGCAAGCTTTTCCCCCCTCATCCTCTCCTCCTCAGGTGCCACCTCCCTCTGCAAGGTGAGACTTCACTCCCCTGCCTTACTCTGTTTCCCAGTTCACAAGGGACCTTGCCGCCTCCAAGCTCCTGACATATAATTTAGGACAACGAATCTGGTGGTTCATTAGGTGTCATCTTTTGAACTGAGCTTACATCCGTGTTTGGCTTAATAGGTAGGTTTTGTAGGATGGGGGAAGACAGGGGAGAGCCAGACGTGGGTCTCCGGTTTCACCCCTTTCCAGTAGGATGATCTGAATACACACCTTCCTCGCTGCCTTAAAATCCTTCTGCATGGCGTCACGAGGATCTGATTGGGTCAGAGGAGCCACTCTTGGGATGAAGACACTAGCCCCACATCTCAGGACACTAAGAATGACTTGAGTGCCCAGGGCAAGCTTCCGCACCCAGCCAGGTCTGCTGTGTCCTGGCAGCGGACTCTTTCCTTGGAGACAGGAGTTTTCGGGGTGGGGCGTGCCTTCGGCTTCATACTCTTATAAAATTCCCGGGCTCTGTCTTCTCACCTCTAAAAGCAGAGAAAACAGCAGCCGGTGGGGGCCGGTGGGGGCCGGTGGGGGCCGGTGGGGGCTGGTGTGGGCCGGTGGGGGCCGGTGGGGGCCGGTGGGAAGGGGCGAAGTGGAGGCTGAGAAGAGATTAGGGCTCTCGGGCACCCACCACCTCTTGCAACCCTGAGGCAGTGGGGCAAGTATCCCGATTTCATGAACAAAGACAGGAACAACTAGAGGCATGGGCCGTGCTCCTACTGGGAGGCAGTCTGAGGGCAGGTCTGCCAGCCCTGAGGACTTTATTCCCAAGACAGTTGTGAAGCCCCTTCTGCCTGTCCTTGTCCTTACCCCTCGGGTCAGCCCCAAATCGGAGGCCACTATCTCTCCCACAGGAGCCTGCCCCTCCCACCCCACCCCCTCCTCCTTCCCCTCTTTCCTGCCCACCCATTTGCCTCGACCTGGGGTGGCAGGAAGGGAGGTGCTGGGCCCGGGCGGGCGTGAAGAGCAACCCCGCACCCCTGCTCAGAGCTGCTGCCGCCTGCGCCCAGGACTGCATCCCGCGCAGGCCTGGTGACCAGGCCATGGCCTCCACCGAGCCCTGGAGCCCCAGCCCGGGGTCCACGCCCTGGGACTACTCAGGGTTCGATGACCTGGAGGAGCTGGAGCTGTGTCCGGCCGGGGACCTGCCCTACGGCTACGTCTACATCCCCGCGCTCTACCTGGCCGCCTTCGCCGTGGGCCTGCTGGGCAACGCCTTGGTGGTGTGGCTGCTGGCCGGGCGGCGCGGCCCGCGGCGGCTGGTGGACACCTTCGTGCTGCACCTGGCGGCCGCGGACCTGGGCTTCGTGCTCACGCTGCCACTGTGGGCCGCGGCGGTGGCGCTCGGCGGCCGCTGGCCGTTCGGCGAGGGCCTCTGCAAGCTCAGCAGCTTCGCGCTGGCGGGCACGCGCTGTGCGGGCGCGCTGCTGCTGGCGGGCATGAGCGTGGACCGCTACCTGGCCGTGGTGAAGCTGCTCGAGGCGCGGCCGCTGCGCACCCCGCGCTGCGCGCTGGCCTCGTGCTGCGGCGTCTGGGCCGTGGCGCTGCTGGCCGGCCTGCCCTCCCTGTTCTACCGGGGGCTGCAGCCGCTGCCCGGGGGCCGGGGCAGCCAGTGCGGGGAGGAGCCCTCCCACGCCTTCCAGGGCCTCAGCCTGCTGCTGCTGCTGCTCACCTTCGTGCTGCCCCTGGCCGTCACCCTCTTCTGCTACTGCCGCATCTCGCGCCGCCTGCGCCGGCCGCCGCACGTGGGGCGCGCCCGGAGGAACTCGCTGCGCATCATCTTCGCCATCGAGAGCGCGTTCGTGGGCTCCTGGCTGCCCTTCAGCGCCCTGCGGGCCGTCTTCCACCTGGCGCGGCTAGGGGCGCTGCCGCTGCCGTGTCCCCTGCTGCTGGCGCTGCGCTGGGGCCTCACGGTCGCCACCTGCCTGGCCTTCGTCAACAGCTGCGCCAACCCGCTCATCTACCTCCTGCTGGACCGCTCCTTCCGAGCCCGGGCGCGGGACGAGGCCTGCGGGCGCACCGGCCTCCTGGCGCGAAGGAACAGCTCGGCCTCCTCGCTCTCCAGGGACGACGGTTCCGTGTTCTGGGGCCGGGCCCAGGCAGCGAACACTGCTTCGGCCTCCTGGTAGCGGCCCCGGGCCGCTGGAGGTGGGCAGCAGTGGAGCAGTGAGAGGCGGGGAGAGGCCCCGGGAGGCGGCCTGAGCTCCCCAGACGCGCCTGTCCTGGCGGCAGCAAGCCGCTCTGGCCGGCCTCGCGCGGTGCCTAGACTCCCGCGGTTTCCTCCATCGGCTTCCCCGGAACCTCAGAGCGATTGAACTTCCCTAAACCAGGCTGCTGAGACTAGCTGTTCCCTCTCAGCCTGCAGGGTTCCTGAGCTAATTTTGTCCAGTCTAAGTTAGGTGTTACGAGATGGAGCAGGCAGCAACTCAGAGACCCACAGATTCACCAAGTAGACAGAAGGGAAGTGAGTTTCCTTCTCTGCCCCATCGGGAAGAGCACCGACCGGAATATCTAACCCAGACCCCCCAAACGCCACTCTTGTTTCTGGCTGTGCTTTCTCCCTCCCACAATAAACTTTGCTTTCAGAGAAATACCTTCTCCAGGTCAGACCCTCTGCCCGTCGTCTCTCTAAACCCTCGAGTTGAATCTGGTGACACTTCTCCCCCTGTGCAGCCGCAGAACTCACCCTGGAAGCTATTCTGGTCCTTCACTCTGGACAGAAGATCCTGAAGTCTCTCACCAGGCATTCGGATTCTCCATCATTCAGCCGGGGACCCCAAAATCTTCTCTGTGAATTTACCTTTCTCAATAAACACTCTTGCTAGCCCTGTCTTGACAACCGTCTTTACTTGAGCAGAGGGAGTGAAATGCGTGTCAGGGGGCGGGTCGCACACTGGGTGAGACAAAACTCAACACAGTAGTTGAGGTTGACCTCAGGATGCTGAGGATTTGGGGTGATGTCTGGAACCATGAGAGCTGGCTGCATTCTGCAGGTGCAGTCATCCCACAGAAGGCAGCAAATCATTTATTCTTATTTTTAAGGACATTTCACATTTTGAAAGTTACAGAAAGAAAATGTATTTGTATAGGGCATCTGCCAGCCAGGTGTCACCCCCAAGAGAAGATGTGTCTTTTTTTCAAATATATACTAGGGCTTTTTTTTTTTTTTTCTATCTTTTTTCAGACCTTCCAGTACAAATTTTGGGGATTCACCATTTTCTGACTCTGTGGTTTCTCCTTTGAGGTTTCTGTAAGGGGAAAATCACTGTTTATACTTATGATTTAAGAGGATTTGGCCAGCCAGGCACCGTGGCTTACACCTGTAATCCCAGCATTTTGGGAAGCCAAGGTGGGCAGATCACAAGGTCAAGAGATCAAGACCATCTTGACCAACATGGTAAAACCCCATCTCTATTAAAAATACAAAAATCAGCTGGGTGTGGTGATGCTCGCCTGAAGTCCCAGATCCTGGGGAGGCTGAGGCAGGAGAATCACTTGAACCCAGAAGGCGGAGGCTGCAGTGAGCCAAGTGGCACCAATGCACTCCAGCCTGGCAACAAAGCGAGATTCCATATCAACAACAACAACAACAACAACAACATAAAGGATTTGGCCTAAAGACATTTCAGTCAGTGCACATCCTAGCCAGACCCCCATAGGCCAGTCATAATGTCGCAAGCACTGACGGAAGGGGTAGCTGTGCACGCAAATCACCACCTCAGTGCTGGGTTGGCTCTGAGGCCTGGCATTCTGCCGCAGGCTATCCATCCCATCCCCTCAGTGAGTACCCCTGCATTCTCTTCAGCATTTGGAGCTGCTGGATTAGAGCAGATTGAGCATCACATCCCATTTTGACCCCACCTGTCATCTCTCTTAGGTGAGCCTGCTAAAAAGTGGGTCTCTGCACGTTCCTCCCATATACTCCAAGAGAGGCAAGCCTTGCAGCCTGTGAGGCCACTGTGCCAGCGGGACACATTTCAGGGGCTTTGCTGTTTGGTTAAGTCTTGGCCCTTCCTATCCTCACTATTGCTCTCTGAGGCAAGAAATTATTTTTTCATGGAGCTGAGACCCCAGAATTTCCATGGCATGGAAGCTGATTCTCATCTGGGTGTGTGTGTGACAAGATCTCAGAGTACAGAGGTGGCACTTCTCCAGGGTATTGGGACTGAGCCCCCACCTCCACCCCTGCCAGGTTGCTGCTTCTGACTTACTGACTGGTTGAGTTCCCTGAAAAAACAGACAGAAGGAAGGCTTCTCCATGCCCTGGTGGGTTTTCGGCTCCCCTCTTGTGGTAGCTATTGAAACTTAGCATTCCCCTCCTGCTGTGGAACTCTGTGCGATGTGGAGAGACAGTCTCCGCCCTTGTTTGAGTAGATCATGGAATTGATCTACCATGTGTCCCTTGGAAATGTTCCCTTAAATTCAGACAAAAATGAAAGAGGACCAGTGAGCTCCTGTCTCCCACTGGGGAAGATGAGGCTCAGATTCAGCAAGGAACTGGTCAAGTGAGTGTTCCCACACATATGGTGAGTGGGAGTAGATTCCTTTAAGAAGCAATTGTCAATCTTTACCAAGAGCTTTAGAACTTCTCATATCTTATTTCTTTAAAATGTTTATACCCTTTGGCCCGGTAGTTTTACTTCTGCCACTCTCTTCTTAATACAACAGTACTAAATTTAAACGTTTATGCACTGAGTTATAGAAGTTTTTACAGAGTTAAACCTGAAAGGAAACAGCTTTAATATCTAACAATAGTGTAGCGTCTTTGTTAAGATTAATGACTATCATGCAAATTTAAGATGTTCTGTAGGGCCGTTGACCCCACAGGGTCGTGGGGTGTCCCTTATGCTGTGCTGAGGTGCAGGATCTGAGAAGTAAAGAGACAGGACACCGAAAAACTGGTGAAGAGCATCTGGACTCCTGGGGCCACACCACCTATGAGCGGAGATAGGCGAGGCCTGGAACACGCAGAAGCATCTGTATTTATTAGGTACAGGCAGGCGGAAGGGTCGTAAGTGAGGTCATCATCTATAGGCTTAGTAATAGGGTATATATAATCATATGAGTCTCAAGCGAGGGGACCACCTCTATGTCACCTGGGCAGAGAGGTGGGCCGTGCGCGGTAGGGGGCCGTGCCATGCGCAGTAGTAGAGGGTCGTGTACAGAAAAGGGGTCCACTCCCATTAGGTCACCAAGGCAAGGAGGTGGGCTGTGTGCAGCAGGTGTTGTGCACAACATATCTTATCTGGGGGCTGGAGGCTTCAAAGGATTTCTAATAGAAGGATACTGTAAGCCAATGCAGTGGGAGCTGACAGACTTGTGCTCTTCTCTTAAGATATTTATGGGAGGATTCTTTGAGCTAGCACAGAAGCGAGAAAAGACTGAAAGGGTGTCCAGCCACCGTGACTGGTCACACCAGAGGGCTTCTTCTCCCTGGGTTATTTCCAGGATCTCAGGCTGAGGCCTACTTTGCACGGGAACTGGATGCAAGGTACTACAACTCCTTTATCAGGAGGAGAGGCTCCTGCTCCAAGTCTGCCATACAGCGTATGCCCTTTCAGGCAGGGACGCCACCGCCTGGGTCTTTGGTTCTTGTCCTGGTCTGGCTGTTTTCCCATGTACTGCTTCTGTTCTGTGACTGCTCTAGGCATTTCTCCTGCTGTAAACTACTATATGATTATATGGAAGGGTTATATAAATCAGCACTAAATGTGTCAGTACAGCTCTGACTACATCTGTTATATGATTCTATCGAAAGATTATATGAAACTAAGTATGCTAGATATAAGTACTAAGTATGTTTATATAAGGTAGATATAAGTAAGCAGTGAGTTATATACTTCAGGCACTAATCATGCCTGGGGTCTGCACAGTTCTCCTGCCTTGGTGACCATAGCGGGTGTTACCCACATGTTCTTTAAAGAGAGACTGAAAAATGTTGATGATAAATTAAACGGGAAAGAAAGGTAAAAATCTTATCTGTTAAACACACCCACACACTTCAAGTCTGGAGGATGTAAAATGGTTAGCTAGCACTGGTTTCGTTAAGTAAAACATAACATGCTTCATAGTCCTTTCAATAAAATGATCTTTTGATCAGACGCAGTGGCTCACGCTTGTAATCCCAGCACTTTGGGATTACTTTGTCATACACTGAGGCAGGTGTATGACAAGGTCAGGAGTTTGAGACCAGCCTGACCAACATGGTGAAACCCCGTCTCTACTAAAAATACAAAATTTAGCCAGGCATGGTGGTGGCCGCCTGTAATCCCAACTACTCAGGAGGCTGAGGCAGGAGAATCGATTGAACCGAGGAGGCAGAGGTTGCAGTGAGCCGCGATTGCACCACTGCACTCCAGCCTGGGCAACAGAGTGAGACTCCATCTCAAAAAGAACAAAAAATCAAAAAATAATGTTTTGCTCTTTTATTTCTCATGGCTCGAGTTCTGAACACTATAGGTATATCTCTTTCCTCTAGGTGCTAATGGAATGCCATCGATTTATTTCTTTGCTTCTCGCCTGCCTCTGCCACCAGAATGTGAGCTCCATGCACGCAGACAGTTCGGCTGTGTTGGAAACACGGTGCCTGGAACGTGCCTGTGCGTCGCAGGCACGCGCTCACCACCTGTGAATGAATGATCATCAGGGCCATGTCATGATATGAAATGATGTCATAGAACGTGAAGAGCAAAAGGAAAGCTATCAGATTTTATGTGTAACAGCTATGTCTTATTAAAGGACTTAAAAAAGAAAGGCTAAGAAGAAATACGATAATCATTAATGATAGTGATTGTATTAGAGGAAGTAGATTACAGATCCTTTTACCCCCTCCATTTCTTTACTCTTAAAGATTCTTTTATTTTATTTATTTTTTCTTTTCTTTGTTTTTATTTTTTTATTTTTTTGTTTTTTTACTCAAAGTTTCTGTAAGCTTTTTTTTTTTTTTTTAAAGAGACAGAGTTTTGCCTGCAATCATAGCTCACTGCAGACTCAACCTCCTGGCCCCAAGCATTCCAACCACCTTGGCCTCCCAAGGTTTGCTGATTACAGGTATGAACCACTGTGTCTGGCTTTCTAAGCTTTTGTTTTTTTTGTTTGTTTGACACAGAGTTTTGCTCTGTCACCCAGGCTGGAGTGCAATGATGGGATCTTGGCTCACTGCAGCCTCTGCCTCCCAG